CGGTAATCGAGAGAGAGAGAGAGAGAGAGAGCGCCCGTTGGCACCTGCGGCGAAGGGCTGCTGGGAGCAATGGGCTGGGTGGGGATATTCTCATGGGTCCCTGCAGAACCAGCCCCGGCTGAGCTCCTCCTGCCCTGGGAAAGGCACCCCGTTAGCACCACGTGGTTCTCTGGAAAGTGCTTCCCTGTCGCTCCAGCCCTCCACTGCGCCTGGGGCCGGGAGCGAACCGAACCCGGGACTTTCCAAAGCCAAGGTGACGCTGTGGCCGTCGCTCACCCGGTGCCTGGCTAAGAGGAGCAGCTAGGCGCAGCCCCCCTTGGGCCGCAGCGCAGACCGCCCGGCCCTGTCCAGCCAAAACAGCCTGCGCCTCGCCAAGGAGCGGTCCCCGCCAGGGAAAGGGGTTTCCAGGGCTGAGCTCACCCACTTGGGCTGTGGGTCTCGCACGCTGCGTTGCCGTGAGTGTGCCCCAGGGGCGCAGCGTGACAGGGGTGTTTGCTGTTTCAGGGGCCGCGCAGGGCTCGTTTGAGGTGAGCGTTTCGCCGGAAGCTGCCGTGGTGGAGCACGGAGGGTCCGTCTGGATAAACTGCAGCACCACGTGCCGGGATCCTGGTGCCAGCGGTGGCCTCGAGACCTCGCTCATCAAAACCGATAGGAAAAATGGATCCAGCTGGGTGGCCTTTCGCCTCCTCAATATCAAGGAGTGGGCGTCGTCCCCTCAGTGCTACTTCACCTGCAATGGAAATATAAAGCTGGTGACTGCAAACATCTCCGCTTACCGTAAGTGCCGCTGGCTCCCAGCTGCAGTGGGTCTGGGGGGGCTTTTGTGCCACTGACACTTTCTGGTGCAGGGCAGAGCTAGAGAAAGGGAAAAGTGGCTGGCAGAACTAGGGTCCAAGGCTGTGCTCTGGCCCTAGGGCAGGGGACTGGCTGGCTCCGGGGGCAGAGAATGGGACACGGGCCTTTCCCCTCTGGGGACACTGGCTCCGCTCCATTAAGCCAGGCAGCACCTGCGTGGAGTTACCCCCTGGCAGCCGTTGGGTGGGAGGAGTTGGTGGGCTCAGTCCGGCTCCTGGCAGGGCAGGAATCCACATCCCCACCCCCTGCCCCACTTCGAGCCCCTGCCGGCCGGTCAGCCAGACTGAGCCTGGCTCTCGCCGCCAGCAGGGTCCCCTCTGGGGCAGGGCTCAGCCGACCTGGGGCGCGGGGATGCACCTGCCAGGCTCTTCCCCCAGCGGCGCCTTTCAGCAGCACCCGGGTCTACGGGATCCAATTAACCGACCTTTGGGTGCTTCCCCCTCTGGCTCCAGGGGCACCGGAGCGGGTGGTGCTGGAGCCGCTCCCCGAGATGGAGCTGGGCCAGGCCTATAACGTGATGTGCCGGGTTCTGAATGTGGCTCCCGTCACACACCTCACCGTGACCCTCCGGCGGGGAGGAGAGACCCTGCACACGGAGACCTTCCAGAACCACACCGGGACCGGACCCGATGACATCACAGTGATCACGGAGATCACCCCTCAGCGATCGGACCACGGGCAGGAGATCACCTGCCACACCGCCCTGGACCTGCACGGGTCCCACTTTGAAAACAGCTCCTCTGCGGTGGAACTCAAGGTTTATGGTGAGTTCCCACATGCTCCATGTGCCAGACACACCGTTCCTCCGTGCACCAGAGACACGCTCCATGCACCATAGACACTGCTCCATGCACCAGATACACCGCTCCATGCACCAGAGACACGCTCCATGCACCAGACACATCGCTCCGTGCACCAGAGACACGCTTTGTGTGCCAGACACACCGCTCCGGGGGCTGGCCGTTCAGGGGACACAGGGGCTTTGCCTGACGGCCCCGCTCCCTGCACCCCCTGCTGACATTCACCCCCCCACAAAGGGGCACCAAATGCTCCCTGGCCAGGATGGATTCCCTGCTGTCCTGGGCCCGTCGATGCCGGTCCCAGGTTGGGGGCTGAGATCTGTTCTCCCAGGTGTCCCGGGCGACCCCTTTGGGAGCTCCCCTAACGCAGACTGATGCGTCTCCTGCTCTTTACACACCTACTGCGTGAGGTCCCAGCCCCCTGTTTGCGAGTCCCCCCAGCCCC